ATAGATACTGCCCAGTCAGTATCAGTTAATATCTCTACATCTCTTCTTGCAGTTTTTCCAAAGAACAATCCTTTCCTTGGTATCATTTTTAAGTATCATATAATTCGATTTGCAGCCTTTAAATATTCTTCAGTTGGGTTATTCATGAATTAACTTACAACCTTATTGTAAATCCGATATCCAACCTAGTGTATGAGAGATATATCAGTTTTTCAACTAATATCTGATATTGTCCCTTGTTTACTGGAGGATTTTCTCCTTGTTCTTTGAACCCAATATTTGGTTCTATTGGAGTGTCTATTGGTTTACACCTACTCATTTATGTTTCCTTCAACAAGTCAATGACATACTTAATTTGTGATGTAGTGGTTTTTTTTCCTAGATCGTGCTACTTCCATCCCAAGAAAGTACTTCAAATTCCTGAGGACTTAGGTTTCAAATTCTGAGGCAAACATTCTCTGGAGTTTTAAATTTCAGTCTTCGTTTTTCAAGTTAACACTATGTCATCCACATTGACAATAATAAAAAAAATTTCCCTATTTGGGAGTACTTCACAAACAACATGCGATCTATTTGATAATGTGCATACCCATACGATTTCACTGCTCCATTGAATCAGTCAAACCACACTTTAGGAGATTGGTCCAATCCATAAAGGGCCTTGCTTCAACTTAGAGACTATATTCATATTATCCTAGGTCTCAAAACTAGGAGGGATATCCATTTAGACTTCCTCTATAAGTTCCCTATTTAAGAAAGCATTTTTTACATCAAGTTGGTAAAGTGGTCAATCAAGATTTGCTGTCAATGATAATAATACCTGAATTGTACTCAACTTCGCAACATGGGAAAATGAATTTTTAGCAGTCAATACCATTTTATTGCATGAACCCTTTAACAACTAGCCGAGCTTTTAACCTGTCAACTCCCGCATCGGTTTTATACTTCACAGTGAAGACCCTTGCTATAGTGCCATAACATGATTACATTATCATTATAAGAAGTAAAACAGGAAAGATCAGAGGATAGATACTCTCGAATGTGGTTACTGAAGAGGATACAGAGTCCTGAGTGTACTTAAGCATTGTCAGTCGTTAGAAATTTAATCTCATTTGAATAAGATTTAGCAATAATTCTTAGTTCTTATGTCAGTTTACTAACTGACAATAAATTGCAACTTAATTCAGGAGCATAGAGCACATCATTAAACCTATCCAACCATCTTTGATAGAGACCCATCTGCAATTCTGATATAGATTTGTTTATGGCATGTGTTATATGTTTTGAACAATTTCACATTACCAGTCATGTAATCTGAAGCTCCAGAGTCAATAATCCATGCACTGATTGAATTTTGGAGATTAGATAGAGTATTAGTAAATTTACTTGAGTGGGTAACAGATCCGTTGCCTATTACTGGATGATTACTTAATAAATTTCTCAAGTACTTCAGCTGCTCTTTATTGAAAACCAAGTTCTTTTTCTGTTGCTTACCTGATACTTCAGCTTCCACAGTTAGGTTTCCTCTCAACTTTGTCTCCAGATTTTCTTTTGTTTCTCTTCCTCATTGAGTTCAATTTTGTTTCCAATCTGATGGCTTTCCATGAAGCTTTTAGCAAATCTCCTTTTATTGGCCGGGCATTCTATAGTGATTGCACCACAACTTTCCCTTTTTCTGTTTCATCTCTTGTTGAAGTGGCTAGGTATTTTGAGTAAAAAGTCTTGAACTTTCACTGAGCGTGATTTTCTTTTGGCTCTCTTCCTCATGCACTTCTACAAACACTTCACAGAAGGGCTTGGTTTTGCTCCCAGGATTCTTCCTTGGATGTTATCCAGTTCCTTGTTAGAACCGAGAAGAAATTTGTACAACTTCTTGGTCTCGATGATTCTTTGATACTAAAGACGGTCTTCTTGGCAGTGCTATTATTGCTCTTCATGCACATCAAGTTGTTGTCAGTTCCTTGTCAAGGTGTTGAAGTACTAAGTCATCATCAAGTCACTCTAACGCAAGTTGTTAAGTATACTTTCTATGAAGAGTTCTAGGGAATTATATGTTTTGGAATATGTTTAGCGAGCTGCGTCCTAGATTTCCTTAGCTGTCTTGAGTAGGAGGAAATTCTTTCTTATTTCGTTTGTCATTAAATTACAACCCAAGATATTATCATATAGTCTTCGGCTCTCTAAGTTTGGTACTTTTGTGTTGTTTATGGTTAGCGGATTAGTGGCTCCTGTAAGATGGTCATCTTTCCCTTTCCCGTACACGAAAATCATGGCAGATTGTTACCGAGGTAGGTAGTTTTGGCCATTTAGCTTGTATGAGGTTATGGATATAATTGGATTATCCATCCTCTCATTCCCCATGGGAATGGTTTCTGTTGAATGCACAACTTCTGGCTTTGAGGTTTGAAGATGGTAAGCCATGTCTTACTTTGGCATTCTGGGTATTCTAGATTCAATGGAACAGGGAACCATGATCTGATACCATGAAGAAAGCTGTAAGTTTTATTCCAAGGTTTTCTTTTATACCATTACATTATTTATAGGTTTCAATACCAAATCAGTATCCCCAGAAACACAACATAGAGTATACTTCTAAAAAGTTTAGGAAACTTCCCTCTATTTAGGATTCTAGTATCAAACCTAGATCCTATTTTTTCTCTTAGATTTTCTCCTAATATTTCTGCATATTTCTTCTCCTAGATTTTCTCATAATATTTCTGCAATTCTTTTGGTTCAACTTTTTCGTGATTTTTTTTCTTTGCTAAAGTTGAGTTCTGAACCATTAAGAAGTTTGGAACTCTATGTACAATCACTTCTTTTCAAAATCCAGGACATGGTGGCCTTCTCATGTTGTCAATATGATGGGGGAGAAGCAGAGAAACAGGAAATGGACTTGGTTCGAGAGAAAGGGTGGAAAGGAAAGTTCAAACAGAAAGACCGTATCATTAATCCTGGATTGAATCGAATCAATGGAAAATGTCCTCTAACCCCATTGGAGGTATGCTGTTAGTCTGTCTTTCTTCCCCCTTTCTGTACCTTTGGAATTCCAAAGATATTATATATCTTTCGATAGTTGCAGACTTAGGGCAGATGTTTGTGATTGTCACTTTCATTGAACATTTCTATGTGTTATGGTTATATATGCTATGGTATTAGTATGTTGGTAAAGCAGAAAGTGAGTGTTTGTAAATAATTTCCTCATATATCGTACTAAGCAGAGGGGCATCATTTTATTCTTGCCAAGAAGTTCTTAGAAGCCTTATGAATTATAGATCATAGGACATAAAAGATGCATCAGTAAATAAATTTCAAAGAGTTTTAACTACATTTCCAAGCATAATGCTTCTTGCTTGTTTGTGTTGTTAAATACTAAGGATCCATTCTGTTTGATTTATAGCTTTGATTTCTTTATCCTTTTTCATCATCCTATTTGTTTGATGATACTTGTTTATTTTGCCAAATTATTAATCTGATTGCAACATGATGCTTTCCCTGTCAGCATAGGTTGGAATGATGCTGCGTGGTATGGGATTTGGTAACGAAACTGCAATTTATTTAGCCTCGGGAAAAATTTACCAGGCCAAAAGGCACTTGGCTCCGTTATTGGAGATGTTTCCCCTTCTTTATACCAAAGAATCTCTTGCAACACAAAATGAGCTTGCCCCATTTGTGGTAAATACTTTTTCTCCTTCTATTCCATTGTTTGTTAAAAGAATCCGGTTTGAAGAATATTTGGCAACAACGAATATATTCATTGTCAACATAGGTTTAAGTCCATATTCCAACTATTTGGATCAGAAGAATGAAACACTTGGTGCTCTGTATGCCAACATAAACTCAATTAATGTGTTCTTTTTCTATTTCTACTACCACCTTTTTTCCAATGGAGATCATAGATAATATGTTCAGTTGATGGAATTGCAAATAGATTTCAAAAAGGAAAATAGCAGTAAGCTTGTACTGCACCTGTTCTGTAGAACTTAGGTTTTCTAGTTTTACTAAAGAACATGGAAAACAATTACAACTTTTTCTTTTCCAGCTTAGTATAGCTTGAGAACTGAATTCCTAAAATCAAAAAAGAGAAGGCATGTACTATCAATTGAACAAAATTTTAGGCCTCGAGCTTAGTTAAGATGGTAGCCTCCTTCCCACTTGTCAAGGGGGAGAGATTTGTGAACATTGCCTGTTTCGTGCAGTGACATACCACTCTTTTTGGGTCTTCTTGTGCTTGGTTTCATGCCAGTAGGAGTAACCAAAAAATATGGGTAAGGATTTGATCCGTGGTTCAATCCAAGATTTACTTAAGGTGGCGAAACAAATTTTCAATGAACCAGGATTTTGACACTTCCTTTATTTGTTTCTTTCAGAAACATCGTTGTCTCTAACAATTAACATCCTTGATTATCATTGTGTTAAAAGTCCAGGTCTTTTAAATTAGTTCTTTACTTATGGATCTTGACTCTATCCTCTTCTCTTTTTCAGCTGTCAGTTTGAATTTTCTCTTTATCATTTTCCTTAAATCCCAGTTTTAAAATCAAGGGTTAGGAAAAACTGGGACTGGATGTCAAAAGCAAATTTGTGTCCTTTGCACTCACGGTCAAATCCTTGGGCTAGAACATTTAATCAAATAAAAATATTGATATTTTGTAGCCAAAATGTTCTAAATGGTTGGATGTAGGGATTTGGCCAGATGGCATTAGCTTCTACTGCGTTTATTTGACCTCTAAGTTTGATAAAAATTCATTTGTTTGTTAGAAATGGATTAGCTTTGACAAGAACAGAATGTGATTATTTATAGAAATGTCTGAAATTAGTGAAGACTTAGCCCAGGCTGCCATTCACTTACTGTTCTATTGCTTCTGTGACTGCATCAATTTGAGTTTTTTTTTTATTGGTCTTCCAAAAAATCAGTAAAGTCAGTTGTATTAATTAGTTAAGCTGGGCTTTTGTGGTTTCTACCACAATCCTGTGTCCATTTACTTGGATGAAATGAATAACCATTTAGCTTTCTGAAGTGAATAGGTAAAATGAGTGTAATAAGTTTGAAATGGGTCGATCAAAGACCCTTCTCTTATATGCTCTTTTTCTTTGTGATGTCTTGAGTTAAATGACTATTTTCTGTCTTGGTAGGTGTATTCTTCAAGACTAGCAGCTTTGGATTATACAGTAAGTTTGTTTAGTGAGGTTTTCGTGACAACTCAAGGTGGAAACTTCCCTCATTTTCTGATGGGTCATCGGCGGTTCCTTTTTGGTGGGCATGCAAAGACAATTATTCCTGATAAAACCAAGCTCGTTCTTCTTCTGCTGGACATGGACATGAGGTAATCCATCTCTCTCTCTTTCTCTCTCTATCTATCTATCTATCTGTTTATCCATCTATCTCTTTTCTCCTCCATAGTGTGTTTTGCTTGTTATCCTGCGCTAATCTGGGACATTTTTCAATATTTATTTAACAGTTAATAGTATTAGCTATTGGCTATATGCATCTTGAAGGGTCCAATCATTGTAGAAATGTGCAATGAAGGATCAAATGTTTTTTTTTTTTTTACGGAGGACATAACATTTTGAGTTGCTTTCAATTATTAACTACCTAATTAACGATATTAACTTTTTTACCATGTGACATGTCACAAAAAAAAAAAAAAAACTAATGAAGCACCACATCATCAATTTAATTGAACATATTATTAAAATGCGTGAAGAATAAAAAAAATATTTTATTTTATATTATTGATAAAAAATAACTAATCCATTTGAATTATATTGTTTAATAAACAAAAAAGTAAATTAGATTAAATGACTAATATTTCATTTTTTTTATTTACCACAAGTATATAGATCAACTTTTTTAAATTATCTAACATTAATAAATATAAAATAAAATATTTCATTTCAATATGTTTTTTAGTATTGAATTTAATTTGATTGATAATGTGGCATACCGCTTGTCTATTTTCATTAGCATGATATGTCATGTAATCGTAAAATTATTGGTATTAGTGAGATAGTTAAGTGAAAACTTAAACTGCACATTGGCACAAAGCCTGCGATATCCTTAACTATTTGAAATAGATTCAGTATAATTTTCTTAATTATTTAAATATAAAATGTTGTAGAAAATTATATAAATATAAAATGTTGTTTTATAAATAAATAAATATTATACGTCTATAATAAATATAAGTAAAAAAATAAAAAACGAGAATTTATGAGGCATGATGGCTGATAGACAGATTCTTGTTTTATTTTTTGCAGTTGGAAAGCTTTCAAGGATCAGATGGAAGCAATGCTCACTGAAAGTGATCGCAAGGGGATGATGGTACCCAGGGTGAGAAAAATAAACAGGAAAACTTCAATATACACGTATCCATTGCCAGAATGCGAATGTCTCCAGAATTCACTCAACTCAACAGTAGAACTTCTCCAGGCTGTAAATGTTTTTGGTTTGAGGCTCAATTCCACAAGATAACCCTTTCTTTGTTACAGGAGCTTCACATAGCTCTCATTGATCATATGCTCATAGCATAATCTTTCAGCTCTGGCCATATTCTTCGTAACATCCACCACGTTGCTAATGCTAAACTACCTGCAGATGGCCATTGCAGTTCCTTCAGCAAGATGGAGGTGTCCTAATTTTGCTTGTGCTAGGACTATCTCTTCCCACATTATTGCTTGGGATATCTGCATGAAAGGTTTCGGGCTGATCTTTACCTCGGTTGAAGTTTGTGATTATCCAGAATTGAAGGAAGGATAAGCTGTGTCAAGTGCAAAAGAACTGTTTTGCATTTGGTGGGTAAGTGAATATACAGAAAATGTTTGGTTGGACTTTAGAGTTTCCACCTCAATCAATCCCTTTTCACAATTGACATTTTTTTTTATAAAAAAAGTTTCAATGTTTAGTTTCTTCATATAGTGGACTTAATGAGTATCTGGATGCTGCAATTGTATATTTTGATATATAGTGGTACACACTGTTTTTCTATGTGGAATTTAAACTTGGGAGTTTGTTTCTTTTCTTTCCTTGTATCCTTTTATCTTTTCTCTTCCCCTTTCATCCCAGCTTGCGTATTACTGCTTCCTTATTTACTTGGATGAGTTGAAGGAATAATATCTAAGCTGCTAGATAATGTGCCCGATGAATTCCTTGAAATTATGATTCTGTCTTTGGGTTGAAAAGGAATGAAAAATAAAAACTTTTTTAATTTAGGGTTATGAAATCAGCAGCCACTCTTCCTTTTGAAAAAGAATAATATTAAGTTAAATTAAATAATGTTGGGAGTTTGTCCCCAGTGTAAGACCAGCGATTGAGGGTGACCTAACGGTACAAGAAACATGGGTGTGGGTTCCGCCATGGCCAGGCTCAGAACCCCAGCCCCACCTTCGGTTAATTCTGGCAGTGAAGGCGTAGGAGGCATTTACCGTGTTTGGCTGTCTCTCACAATCACTCCTATTCAAGTCACGTAGTTTTCATTGTCAATCATTTCACGCCCTTTCTCTTTTCAGCATGTGTTGCTTCTTCTTTTCCCTTAATTTCAATAATTGACAAAAAATAAATAACTAAAAAAGAATTCACATGACACTCATGACCTCTTTTGGGGCCAAACTGACCAAATATGTGACTTTGGAGGATACAGATGGCAATTAATTTGGAAAGTATGGATTATTTCACAGAAATAAAAAAAAAAAAAAAAAAAAAACAACAACAACAATAAATAAGCCCCAAAAAAGTCCCCCCTTTTTAGAATTACAAACTTCCATTTCCAATTTCCATGGCCTCGAAATCCTCCATTGAGCACCCATGCTACAAAATTGGTCTCAAACATATTTACATTTATTTTTTAGGAAACTTGTAAATTTACTGGTCGGAAAATATAAATATAAATAACAAAAAGAAGTAATTAAGCCCATACCACACCGAGATGCTTAAAACCTTTTCGGTAATCGAAAATCAAGAAAATGAAAATCATGAGACAATGAGTACAAAACAAGAGTCAAATTTTAGTAAACCTCTAGGCTTTCAACTCCACTCATGCGCGACCGCTAACGTTAATTGCAGTCGGCAGCTCGGAGAGACACGACAACACCAAACGCCATGCCGTACGATTGGACAATCCCTCCGTGTCACCAACAACCTTAACCTTGACACGACAAAAACTGCATTCCCCACTCTTGAGTTTTAATTTTCAAATTTCAAATTAGTAAATGTAATTAACTGCCAAGTTGTGTGAAATGTAATAATGTTCGTAATGCAGAGGAGGAGCTCAATCATGACTTTTGCAGAGTAAAACATTAATTACAGCAACCTTTTTTTTTTTTTTTTTTTTTTTTTTTCTTTTTGGGGTTAAATAATTATGGTAGTTTCAAACCGGACTAATTATGCCACGGGGGTCTCCAATATAGTTCTAATAATTTTATTATTATATTTAATCTTAATCCAACAATTATGAATTAAATTAAGCTCACGTGACTACCGAGTCCATATATTATCAATAAAGTCCACACTCCTAGGCCTACCGCCGGAGATATGATGACATACATTGGACATTAGATAATGTGATACATATTCTTTTTATTAAATTCATAATTACCTTTTACTTTGTTCGGTATTAAAAAAAAAAAAAAAAAAAATTACCTTTTACTTTGCTTTCGTTACGAATGAAATTATGCATAATTAGTTTGCTATTCTCCTGCAAGCTCTACTTATCGGGGATTGCATCATAAAATTTTAAAAGAAAAAATTATTTGTCTATAGGTAATGACGTTGATGTAATTGTCGCTTTTTATTACTACGCTACAAATTTCTTTTTGTTCATTAATTGACAAAATATAAACCTTATACACTCACATAATTTGCCTCATTATTAGATTATACACGTATATAATATAATTAAGTTTGGTTGGGTTGGTATTATCAATGGTGAAGATTCTAATTTGTACGAGACGCTAACGTAGAAATATAATCTCGGTGTCCAACGTGCAATTAATGCTCCGTATTGGTTTTGCCAAATCTGTTCCCAGTTTTTTAACTCCCCCAGATTTGCCACCACACCAGATTTTAATGCTTTCTGGGTTGACTCACACCTACCAGATCAATCAAGCATTCAAGACGAAGCTTCTCTGCAACCAGAGCTTTATTTCTTCTTTGTCCTTTCTTCCCATGGTTAAAACCCAGAAACCAAACAAACAAAAATAACCAAAACTTAAAAGCAACAACAGAAAATCTTATCTTAATTAATTACCTCCGGTGTTAATATTCCAGACTAAAAACCTCTGTAGATAACAACAAAGCAAGGCAAAATAGCCTTCGGATTAAACACATACAACTCGTCTAAATTAGAGTATAGCCCAACAGCTCCGGCCACCGAGTCATACTCCTCCATCCCACCCATTCCTTGACCTTCCGTCGTCTTCTTCACCCTCCCTGCAATCACCCTGCATACCAACATTGCTCTCTTCTCATTCCCTCCATCCTGATCAACTCCTCCGGCTTTGTCGTGCGCTTTGCCGCTGGTTGCCGTCGTCAGAATCCCCTTCGTGTCTACTTCTTTGGCGACCTTGAACCCGTTCTTGATAATGCTACATACGTTGCAGTGAGGAATGGAGTTGCAGAGGTTGGAAGAGCCGTTAAGGCCGAGTGAGCATGCGACGGTGGTGCAGTGAAACCTGAGGAGCTCATTGCCGTCTGCTATGCAACGCGGGTGCTTTTTGGGGAACTTGGTGGCTTTCGCTTTGATCGAGTCTCGGTATTCTTCGAACTTGGTTATGGTTTTCTGGGTGTTGTGGACCTTGAGGATGCGGTCGATTTTGCAGATTGGTGTTTGTTTCTTTAACCAGCTTGATTGGAATATAATTTCCACGATGTTCTTGCTTGTGTCCTCTGGTCCAAGTTCAGACACTGGGTTTTTACAGCATATGAACGTTAGATTGATAGATAAACGAAAAAGAACAGATTCAAAATGAAAAGAAATGGAACCAGTAAGAAACAAGTTACGAAGAACAATTTGAACAATTTGAAGAGAAAACAGAGTACCCGCATGCCTAACGGCTTGATGAAGCTCCAGATTCTCGGGCTTCATGAAGATCTCACCACATTCGGGGCAAGAACTAATACTACCTCTGAGAGAAGGATCTCTGGTGATCCCAAGAACAGGATCAACCACCATTCTACACTCGTAACATCCAGAAAATCTACGAAACGGCATTCCTCGAAAAGACCCGCCATTAATGGAGGAACTGGAAGATATAGATAGTGAAGAATTTGTGGAGGAAACAACTCCTACGCCATTAATCTCTTGAAGTGGAGCTTTCATAGATCTACTAGAAGCTATTTCCATTGAAGCCCTTTTCTTTTGGCCTTCAGGGGAGGATGTTTCGGGCCTGTGCATGACTTTTGTGTTGCTGCATAGTGACCCAGAACACTTCATTTTCTTGCATTTCTTGCTGCTGATTTCCTCCACAGCTTGCTGCTTCTGCTTTTTCGGTTGCTTTCCTTGTTGCTGCGGCTCCTGATTTTTCTGCTGTTGCTGTTCATGGTCTTGTGGTTGGATATGTTTGCAGTTGAAAATGCCTCTGAGAAGGGCCCAAGAGGGCGGTTTCTCAGCTTTTAGCGGCGGCTTGTTCTGGTTCTGGTGGGTTTCGTCGGCGGAATTTCGTTTGTTTTTGAGCTTACCCATTTTCTGAAGAGATCTGGAAGTGAACAAATGGCGGGTCTTTACTAACTTTTAGTATGAGATAACTTGGCTATGGACATGATTGAAGTAGCTAGAAGGGTAGAGTTGCAGTTGCAGAGGAAGAAGATGCCCTTTACAAGTGGGACTCAAGTCCTAGATATGGGAGACGTGGGGCTCTTTCTTGTTATTTATGCGCACACAAATGGGAATTTTATAAGGTCGTTTGCTCTACCTGTTTGCACATGATGAAAATCTAACCGTCGATTTACACGATAGATACTTGGATCACTAGGAGAAGAAACAAGATGGGTCCCCCGTATTAAATTACTCAAGGCCCCATTCTTTTTATTTATTTTTTTAGTATTTTATTTTGTTGGAAGTCGAAGCTGATTCCTTCCATTCTCGCCCTCATTAATTACTCTGCAGATTAAAACATTATTAATGGGAATTTTGAGTTTTTATTTGTTAATTTTGTTCTTTTCATAAGTTTGTTTGGATTTTTTACTCTTTCAAAATGAATTCATAAATTTTTAGGGATTCAAATGTTTAATGATCATTTATAGCTTACAAGTTGTCCTCTTTTAATGTTACGGATAATAGATTTTCGTATATTTTTTAAAATAAATTTGCGTGAATAAATTCAAAAGGTATATAACTTCAAAAATTTTTATCGTAATTTTTTTTTTAATTTATAATCATATCTTTAATATTTACTTTACGATATATTTTATATTTTTTTTGTTATAAAATTTTTTTATGCAATGTTTTTTTTATTATCAATTATCGTTTTGATAAGTGAAATTCTCAATGCACGTAAATATTTATTTTGCAACTATTAATCTCAATAACATTAGTAAACATTTATATTGTAACTAACAATCTCAACGATGACATTATTATTTAATGTTAAAAATTAAAGAACTTTAACACAGTAATAGTAAAAATTGATTTATAAATCCAATTAAGCATGTGCAGTATAGAAGATAATGATACAATGGATCTCTCTTTTATGATCACATCAATATACATATATGCAACAAAATTTTTATTAAAATGTATAATATGAAAAAATATGACATATCAAACTAGAGTTTTTATGTAATAATTGGTCTTATATGACTCATGTATGATGATTTACTAGCATGAATATGTGCAACATATGTATCATTAACATGTATATAATACATGCTAATATGGATTATCAAGAGTTTGATTCTTAAGATTTATTTAATATATTATACTCTTTACGTGTATATGTATATATTTAAAGATATATTTACCAAAATAAAATAAATAATTGAGTGTCAACTAAGTATTGATAATGATTGTCACGTATCAGTACTAAATTATGTATCCCTATATCTATGCTTATATTATATTTTTAAAAATTATTTACATATATATACTTGTCTCATATTTAATGTACATATATGTTGCAAATGTATTATCAACTATTTACTCATATCATTACTTAACTCACTAATATATATTGCGTATCCATTTATTTTATTTTAAAATTATTATTTTTTAAATAAATAATTTAATATTTGAAAAATTAAATTTATAGTGTTGAAAAATAGTAATCTAACATTCAAAATTCAAACACAAAGACAATAAGAACACAATCAAAATTTCAATCATAACTCACTAATGCCATTTAAACTTAATTTAAAAAATATATATATAAACAAGGCAATCATGGACTTCATACCATTGCGAACGCAATTATTTTCATCTCACAATTCTTAATCTTTAATCTATTTATTTACTTTGAATGATACGAATAAAAGTAATTAGTGAATTATCATGTTCCGTTAATCACCCTTAAGTGTTAAGGTTGGATTTAATTCAAAATTTTTACTTAAATAAAATTTTCAATGAAAAACAATATTATAATTCAGAATTAATTTCAATACCCAATTTAGGTTAAATTCTTTTGCGATTAACAATTTGTAGTATAAAATTTACAGTTGTTGAATAAAATATATAAATTAAATTAAATTAATTGATCAAGATTTAAAAATAAAATGTGTAATGAATTTAAACTAAATGCAACATAATCGCTATAAGTAAATGCCCGTCCAATTTACATTTTGGATTTGATTTTTGACTTTAGAAAACAAAGATTTATTAACAAAAAAAAATTAACCATTTAGATTATCTAATAACCCATTTGCTGTTTTTTTTTTTATATATTTTAAAATAAATTTTCCAAAATTAAATATTAAAACATAAATTTAATAAAGACAAGTAAGAACAAAATCGAGATAAGGAAGGTGGCAACTGGCAAGTGTAAACATCCCAAAGCAGAGATTCTGCTTTTTTTTTTTTTTGGGGTTAAGAGCTTCACACAAACAACAAGGCTCTCACTAATTGCACCATAATTATGCTGCCTCCTCCTTCTCAAAAGCTGCTCGATTCCTTTTTTGCCTCAAAATAATACCAGACCCATGTGCCATGGAACCAAGCTTAGTTTCTACTTTAGTATTCATACAGTAACATAAAAGGGTCCCCTTTTTCTAATCTTTTCCCATAATTAAATTATCCAGACGTGATTACCGTTTAATTTATGTAAGGAAAACAGCCAACTTTTTCAAAAGCATACACATCTACTTAAGCTGAAACAACAAAACCCAAAAGCAAACTCATCTCCAGTTACCGTTGCTGTGAAGTGCGAAGTTTTAGAATGAGTACATCTTAGGATCTAAGCTTTTGATGGTTTTGCTTTGAAATGTTGGAGAGAAACTTCGGTTTAACGTTCAACAAGAAAACTAAGCAAAATTGAAGGAGTACTTTTTTCTATGTGGGTTGGTTACTTAAACTGGCTTTTTTTTCTCATGACTGTAGTGTCGCCACTTTTGTTTCTGTAATCGTGGATTCCTATTTGGGTATGGTAAGAATATGGGTTCTCTACTTCATCTATTTGCTATTTTCGTGCTATTTAAATGGTATTTTTTTATTTATTTAAAGTTATTACTCTTTAGCTAGTAATTGTCACTTGCGTACAGGTACAATTCAGTCGGTAAAAACATATAATTTTTATTTTCAAAAGACTTTGAAAACTCTAAAAGCATTTTTTACATCTACACAGAACCAAAACGAAACGCCTATGTAAAAGCAAAAATAATTACAAAACATTATTGGGTGTCTGCTGTTTTAATTGTTTGACGATTAATCATACGTTTATTGCTAAATTTGGAGCCAACTTTTCTGCGTAAAAACTTATTTATAACAATTCATGCATGCAGAGATGCCCTCGGTGCTCTCAAAAAGTTGCTTCTTTTTTTTTTTTTTTTTTAGAAACGCACGCAACTTCCTTGAAAATTTGAAAAAGCAGCTTTTCCCTTCGCAGCTTATTTTGAGGAAGAAGCAGATGTTCACCAATGAGTATATAATATAATCACAATTAAATTATAAATTTATTTTGGGTTGAATTATTTATATATATATATTAGAAATACAAATTAAAAATTTAACCCACCCTCTAAGCTAATTTAGCTTATTCTACACAACTTACTCCTTCCTAATTTAGAAAAACACATTTTCTCTTCCAGTGTTACAAAAACTCTCACAATTAGCCGGTCAACCATTAGTTGACCTCTCTCGCCTACTATTCTTCCTCTTATATTTCTACTTGTAGCTTTTGTTATTTGTATACTACCTAAACTATTCTATATACACTTGGTATAAAGCGTAAAGAATTTTATTTCAGTTGGATCCTCTCTCCTCGTAGAAAGTCAACTGAAATATTTTTTTTGATTTGAAGTAAGATTAATTTAATTTAATTTAATTTATTATATGTGAAGGTAATTTCATAATTTTTTTGATGATTTAATTGGACATCAAATTGGAAAAAGCGTATATTTTTCTCTGTATATTCAACAAAGTGAACACGTGCTACATTAGAAGTATTGTTTAGATGATAGGCCTAGTCCGTATGGGCCTAGGGCCTAGTCCGTATGGGCCTAGGGCCTAGTCCGTATGGGCCTAGGGCCCAATATCCATTACCCAGTAAGAGAATGGCGCCCTTCAAACTTCAAATTTCTTCTCTCTCCCAGTTCTTCGAAGCCGAGGAGGACGTTCCTTTTGCCATGTCTAGCCTTCTATCGGACCGGTTTTTCATGGTTGCAGACGAAGGGTTACCGTAACCTTCTACTTCGACTCTTCAAGTTTCAACACTGACTTACTAAATTTTCCCTTCTGGAGACCGGAAATGCCGTTGACATCCGCCCATGGACAGGGAGGCTAACCTTCCGGTTCCATCAGCTTCGGTGACCAATAATCTAATCCGTCCTATCTTAATTCAGGAAACGTCGTCGTCTTCTTCTTCATCCATTTCTTCGTGCTCTTCGCCGGACTTCCTCCGGCATGTTCAAGCCGCCTTTAAGCGCCACCGACCTCTCGGTACCGCTTTCTCCCTCTCTTTCCCTGCGTTTATATGTATTTGTCGTGATGGGTTTTGAATATCTGTTGTCCTTCTGTGAATCCAGTTTAGTTCTGTATAATGTGAATCCTAGGGCTTTTATGCGGAGGCTCGATTTCGTAATTGATTGACATTTAGGGTTTCCTTTGTGCTTGTTGCGGCCACGTCCGTTTTCTTTTGATTGGAAACATGAAACTTATGGTTTTCACTCGGTTCTGAAATGCTTAGGGATCATAGTTTTACCTTCTTTACCCCGTTGTGGCGTCAATAGTGTTAGCTAGTTATACTTGCCTCTTGTTTTTTGTATTCTGCTTTTTTTTTTTTGTAGAGGTTTTTGATTCTGTGACGCATTAGCTAATACGTTTGTTTTGAATCTTGCTGCGTTGCGAACTTCTGGCCCTTCTTAGATTGATGTGTTTGTGTTTCTCGATCGAAACCTGGCTTAGAACCCACGAAACAAGTATCTGTTAGGATCTGGATGCAACCCTTAGAGAATAATTCACCCAGTGAAGCTTAATTAAAATTTTCCAAGTTATTCGATGTGGGTAGTGGCTAGTTATTCAGTTGGAGTTGGCATGTCCCACTTTATCTGTAAATATTATTAAGCAAAATTTTAAGGTTGAAGAGAAGTCCAAAATTAATGATTTTAATATTTCCTTGTAACTTTTCCAAATTGTGGAGGGTGCACCTGAATTCTTTTTGTATCTACTTGGAGGAGCTTCCAGGTAAAATGCAGAGCAATAACATAGGGCCCAAGCGTAGTGTGGTTCCTCAACGTGTAGCGTCTAGAAACTCAGTGCCAGATGTGGATACTTTAGCAGATAGAAAGAAGTCAGATTCATTAAAACAGAATCAAGCTGCAAAGGTTTTAATCACGCACACCAAGAATACAACTGTTGTTGGGGAATCTCATGAAGATGCATCGGTCACACCACCTTCCATTTCAGGCACTATCACTAGCGCTTATGATGATAACCTGATACCATTTGGTTTGCAGAGAGATTTCAAGCCTATTATTGTTTCTAAAGAGAGCAATCCATCTGTAGAATCTCAACTCGTTGATGGCCAGAAAAAAGTCCAATTTCTAACTGGAGATGATGCCAATGGTCAAGGTAATGCAGGAATCCCTAAACTTTTTCATTTTCTTTAGTGGGTTAGCAACCTGGGGTGGTAAATGGCTACCTATTCTTAAGAGTTCTCTACATGAGTCTTTCTTCACTTTTTTCTCTTTTTTTTTTTTGGTGGGCTACTGAAAAATTTATCAAAAGTATCTGATTTATTGC